ACTCCCCCTACATGCCTCTGGGCATCAACAGTATTGTGGACGCCGGCTTTTACCGTACCAGGCGAATATGGTAAAACCCCTTGCATGCCTCCAGGTATCAACAGTGTGGTAGGCGCCGACGTCTGCCATACCCGAAGAAGACAACACAATCTCCACGTGCATCTGACATTCAATAATATTGTAGGCGCGTACCAATCATCCTATACCCGTCGGCGTGGGCAACAAGGCTCAGTAGCATACGTACTCTCTCCCTCTCGCTTGTAAGGCCATCCCCTTCATTTATAAAAGGGGATGCGCTCTCTTCCAAAGATGATCCATTGAGACTCACTCAGATTCATTAGATCAATCAAGTTTACTAGCACACAACAAACAGAACCGCTAGGTTCAAACCACAAGCACACGCTTGAACACTTAGCTCATAGCGGGGCTCCCGTCACTCTCGGCCCTTTCGACCGGAGTCCGACCCGACCTCTTGTACCCCCATCTTTCTCCTTCTTGTTATAACTGATCACCAATTAATTCACCAAAGAATTCAAGTTTGAATTTCAAAATCCTAATTCAAATACCCTCTTTTATCCCCAATTTCAAATTTCAAAATCTAGGCATAATCTGAGTAAGGTCCAAAAAGCAAAGTTGTAGAGCAGATCAAGTTGGACAACTTTTATTCTTGAAGATTTTGAAGACGTTATACAAATTTTGGAGCAATTTTGGAAAAATAGCAAGAAGTGAAAAAAGCTCTAGTAGCGGCCAAAGCCAGCTGCAGCGCCACTTCACCTTATTTTGTCGTCGCCCGCCCTTAAAGGCGCTTTGCACGAATGGTGGCAGCAGCAGCTGGCGCCCTTCTCGCAATGTCTCCGCTCCTTTAAGCCCGGAGTCGGTCGCTGCACGTCTTCTTCTTCCTCTCTCGCTCGCCGTCGTCACCATTTGCTCGCCGACGCAATTCACCGTGACTAGAGCACCATCGCCCAATTGCTCGTGCATACAACTCCGTCTACTCCTTGTGCATCTCCTTGAACTGCTTGTATCGCCCCTCGCTGATGAATTTTGTCCACGTGCACCGATTCCACCACGGCGGCTCGCCATCGTCGCTGTAAGCCCCTCTGCCGTGGCCAGGCCACACCCTAGTAGCTCTCGTCCTCTCGTTTCCTATTTTGTGCTTGACTTGACGCCGTGAAGCTCATCGAGATGACCGTTGATCTTTTCCTCCTCAGGTCGCACCGGAGCACGTGCTCGCCATCGGGTTCACGCCGCCATGCCCGAGCCATCTCCGCCTCATCTCTCGCATGTATCAAGTCAAGGTGAGCCTCACCCACGTGCTGATGTCCTTAGTTTAGCCCAGTAGGCACCGTAGCGGCTGGAACGCTATTGCGCTGCCGTGCCGCCCACCATCGAGCCACCATGTTTGTGGCCAAGCTTGCTACGAAGCCCCGCTCGATCCATCAATACCACTAAGCGACGCGTGAAGTCTTCGCGAGGGCTTAGACGCCTTTTCCGTGACCGATGATCCCTCTATCGGTCGTCTTCACCTCGCGCGGAGCGCTGTCACCTGCCATGGATGCCGCCGTGGGTGCTACGGTGTAGTAGGGACTCGTCTGCTAACATCGAGGTGTGCGCAGGGTGTTGGTGACCTCGCTGGAGTCGATCCTATCGCCGGAGGTCACGCTAATGAAGAGTACCCGCCAGTGTGCCGTGGTTAACGCTGGAGTAAGCCGGGCTTGACTTGGCCCCGTGCATCAGAGAGAGATAGAGGGTAGGAGAGGAGTGAGTAAAGAAAGGTTTTTAAATCGAAAATGAATTTATTCATTTCTAGAAAATGTTATTTTGTGCTATATCTTGTTTAATTCCTAGTAAATCATATAAGTAAGATAAAATCATAAATTTTTTTGTGTAGCCTCTTTATGATGTTGTCTATCTAGGAAAAATATAAAATAGTGAAAATGATTAGTTTTTGCATACTGCAAAATTACCTCTTTTAATTAATAAATGCAACTTTCATGATTTTTATAGAACGAAATAATTATCTTTTAATCATGAAAATTTTTGTGTATGCTTTACATGCTTAGACCTACTTTCACAAAAATTTTGGTACTATTTTGATGAATGTAAATTATCCACTTAATTCTATGCTTAATTAATTAATTAATTAATGCTTAATTGATAGAGTTAATCATAACATGGCTTGAGTGCACTTTTGGGTTGATTGTAGACCTTGGGACACCACACCTTTATTGTTCCTTGGCAATTTCATTACTTGATTGTGTACCCATATTTAATCTTGTTAATGAAAACAAATATTTCTTTGTGAGTCATTAACCTACTTAATTAATGAAGGAAAGTTGTACTCAAGTTAAATAATTTTGTTTAATCATCTTAATCCATGCTTAGCATCTCATCATCCTAAAGCATGCATATTTATTTATGTCTAGTGATTAAGAGTGGAATTCCATTGTTGAGCTAGTCCCTGAAGTGGAATTCTATTAGTCAGAGTTGGTTATCTTTTCTGTGGTTATCTGAAGTAACTGACAACCCCGACACCGAAGGCAAGCCCCGGAGCATAACCCTTTTCCTTGTGTTTTATAAATGTTATTCACTTAAGTCTTTTGATAGATGCATTTAAGTAAAATAGGAGTTGTTTGAATACCAATTATTGCATACCTGCCTTGATATTTCAATACCTATCCTTGTCACCTTGATGATAGTAGTAGTAGTTAATAAATGCTTAGTGGATAAGAGTTGAGCAACAAGCTGCTTATATATGTTCTTACCTAGGGAATGCCCTATGGTTAATAATAATCATGAATTTTAATCTAAGACCGGGTGGACTCTTTGCTTGCGTTAAAAATTGAGTCTTAACGTAGTGCCCCGCCTGTATCGGTTAAGGACCATTCGCCTGTATCGGTTAAGGACCATTCGTTGTAGGATTGTTGTGTTTGAGACTTTGTAGTACTGGCCACATACTCCAGTAAACCTAATATCTCGGCTGTTCCATTACGTGAAAGGCCAACCGCGCATCGAAAGTGGAGAGATGGAGAGAGTATCGTGTACACATCTAGTGAAATCCACCAAGAGTGGCACTGGGAGGTGGGGTACTGTACTCTCGGGTGGCACAGGACCCGCTCACGTTTTCGAGGATTTGAGTGAGGGCTGATGTATGTAGGTTTAGGACCGGGACCTACATACGTCGTGTGGTAAGAAAACCCCAGCTAGGCCTAATTGATTCGAATCGCCGTTGCTTCTCGGAGAAGAAGACTCGATCCTCCGACCACTCATCGTAGTTAATTAAATGAAACAATGGTACTTATGATCATGAGATGTGATGACTAAAGAAGTGGTTGCTTTATATCAGGGGCAAACTGGAGACCGATAACGACTTAACTGGAGCTAAAACATTAAAAGTAAGGATCAATTATTAGTAAGCTTTTCTACAAAAGTTAATCTTGATCTTTGCTTCAGACTTACCTTGATTCCTCTTAAGCCTGCATATTCTTGGAGTCTTTCATTTTTGTCGGTTAAGTCTTGTTGAGTACTTTTGTCCTCAGGGTTTATTAAACCCTTATTGCAGGAGGAGAGCCAGCACTAGACGAGTTTGTGTGCACCCTTGGGCAGGGTGAATCTCTCTTGAGTGATCATAGTGGTACCTATCATGTTACCCTAGTGCCTTGTCGGCTAAAGTTTATGGTTTGTAATAACTTAATGAATGATTTGTAAACTTATGGTCGTAAGTCTTTCACTATTTACTCTGATATATTATATTTGTACAAACTGTTGTAATATTGCAATGCTTTCTATAATGGATCCTGCTCGAAAGAGAATGTGGATGATTCGGGGTTCTCCGAGGACACCTAACAGACTTTCGGAGTTGTTTGGCTTTCGTGTGCAGCTGTCAGAAGCTTAAAGGACAATGACACACACGTAGATCATACAATTCGGGAGGTTCTGCCACATTTTCAATCCTACTAGAAAATAATGCATGGTAACTAATAAAGATGGTTGGGTGCATGGTCGGACTGTCGCTTTCCTTCTCTTCTCACACTGTTGGTATTCAATTCGGACATATTATTGGTGACTACATGCCAAAATGAGACATCGCTTTATTTCGAATCCGCTGGTTCATCATCTGCTGCTTCTCCCTGCAGATTCTTCATCCATTTCTCTATTTTTTTTTTTATTTTTTTTTTTGCAAATTTATAATTTGGCATGAACACCGGGCGCGGGCGGGCAACGACGTGGCGCCGTCCCTCCATCTGAACCGCATGCCATGTCTCCAATTGCTTCTCCGATGCTGTCCACTGAACTACCAAGAATAGTACTCCAATCGGATCCATGTATCTTGGAGAAGAGGGAGCTCCACCAACCATCCATGGATTGGTGCCACAAACAGCAAGACCGGCCAAGAGCGAAGAGCGGAGGCCCGAGGGGCAGCTCTTGCAGCTGTCGGGGGAACAACATCGGGAGGCTAGTCTCCGCTAGGGGATTTCTGATCGCCTCCTGTCCTCTCCTCTCCTGCCCTGCCGCAAGCCGCAACGCAACTACTCTGAAATCTGAATTCGCCGCTTCCCTCCGCCATTCGCATCAGTGACATTTATTCCTTCAATTCATTCAGGTAACATCCGCGACGCCCCAGCATCTATATGTTTCGAATGTACATTGCCAGTCAGCCTATAGCTGATTGCGATATGGATCATGGATCGACAGTCCATGCCCTTCACACAATCAAAATCGAATCTTGGTTGCACAACTGGGACAACGCACATCGATTTTACCCCCTCAACATAGGCACGTCTTTATCTGAAAGCACAGCAAATTGGTATTCGGATCAGTTACTTGTGCCATTTCACCTTACTCTTCTTTTGGGGGTTGTGGATCACAAAGCTCATGACTTTATGGACACTAACATTGTACCCTGCATCTCTAAATAGGGAGCAAGAACGGCAGCACAATGCCAGGACAGAAATCATCCTGACGTTCTTCGTAAGTCGGCCGTTTAGACCAGGCTGACAATGTCAGCTTCCGAGTTCAGGATTCCATACCAGCAAGTAAGCGGTTCATATGTTTCAACAATAATTTTTATGTTCTGTGCTGGAGTTTGGTTATCAATGTGTATATACACCGTTGCATTATTCAAGTGCTTTACTGGAGTAGATATGTCTGTTCTGAGTTGGGTAGTAGTAACCACACCGTATAGTTTACTTCAGGCATTCTTGTTATGAATCATTGGTACATAAAAGAGTAAATCACGGAGAATATGCTGCATAATGCATGCCTATGGAGGATATGCTGAAACAAAATCCATGCCTTATTATGCTTTGAATATTCTCTATGTAAAAGCCTCCCCCCTCCTTCCTTTTGCAGTAAAGTCAAGTTCACAAGATCACTGTTTAATTGTTTGACCGAGGCACTGTTCTACATGTTCACTTCACTTTGTTTAATTCTCTTGATAGGTTTCTTCTTCACAGCCTACTGAGAATGTAAATCAGTTTAAGACCTGTCGATGTGGGGAGGGAGACCCGAACTCCACATCTGAAACTGGTGACAGCCCGCTGATCTCTTGTCCTAGTTGCCAGGTTTGTGTAATCTTACAACTAAAGGCTTTGTGCTGCAGTAAAGAAAATAAAAGAAATGGCCTTTTTAATGATGTACTGTGTCCTATAACTAATACGCTGCTCAACATGTATCAGCTGACTTTATACAATTTGATGTTTTCACAAGTTGTCATCACTGTGCATGGCTGCTACTGATGCTTATCTGCAATTTGGCCGTGCCTCAGCATCTGGTCAAAGCGAAAGTTTTTTTTTTTGAAATGAACGGCAGGAGCTCTGCCTCTCAATTGAGGAAGGAGAGAATAGTTTTATCTACAGGTTTTAGTTCAGCAGCCAAAAATTGGGGGAGGCAAAGGAGGAAGAAGGATCAACAAACACTGATACAGCTACAGCATGAAACTCAGCTTGCTAGCCTTCCCTTTCTAAAGCCCTTTTCCTTTGTGCAATGTCTTCCTTGACTCTTGAGGCAACCTGCAAAGCCGATTCCTGGGCATTGCTGAAGATTCTTCGATTTCTCTCCTTCCAAAGATTCCAGCATGTGTAAATCACCAAACCGTTGAAGCGTCTTCTTTCCTCTTTTGCGACCTTGGGCATGGTCTCTTCCCACCAAGTTCTCAAGTGAGCAGGGTCTTGGTCGAACTGTGTCAGCTGGCTGTTGAGGTCAAAGCGAAAGTTATTAGAAACTTATCTTATTAATTGTTGCAAAGTATACTATTATTTAAGTCATGATAGACAATAAAAATAGAGAAATATACCTGGTTATTTTCTCCATATCTTTGTAAGAAAACTTTCAAGGACAATGATAAGTATTCTTCTAGTGCAGGTCCTTAAGAGTGGACATTTACTACTTTCATCTAAAGGTATGCTTTCCTGCAAATATGTATGATATTGCATAAATTCTGTGTTCTCCTTCCTCTCCTTTAATACCCTAAATAGTTTATTTATGCTATCCCTTTTTTGGTGCCAAATGGTCATAATTTGTTTAAGCGTCAATGGTTGCCCCACTTAGTGACCTTCCATAGTTGATCACATTTTACTTTCGAGATAAAACACTACATATTGCATTTTCTATAAACAGGAATTGGATGGACATCATGGAAAAAGCGCTGGTTTATTCTTACAAGGGCATCCCTAGTGTTCTTCAGAAGTGACCCTGTAAGATATACTGCACTAGTTCCTTCAATGTTCCTCCTTTTCCTTAAGTTCTACTGTATTATCTGTACTTTTTTGTGTTTATTTACATCATTATTCATGCGCCAATCTGCTCTCTGTAATATCCTATTCATATGTTTGAGGTAAAATAATTTTTCTTGTAATGAACACTAAAGAAGCTTTCGTAATGCTAATCCGCTTCTCGCGAGGAGATCGTAGCAAATACACTCCCAAATGACGATAACAATGTGAAATCTGCACTTTATTAATGAGATAATATTTTCTTCAAGTTTTACTTTGGCTGTAAGTCTCATCTTACTTTGTTAATCATTACCAGGTAGTGGCTGGAGATATAGTATCTGCTAGACTGACTGAGCTCTGTTTTTATTGGGCCCTGTCAATACGTCTATACCATGATCATTTACCTATCGCACAGCTACTTGTGATAGGGGCATATTGTTGCTCAGATACCCCTATAGATTATCAAATTGACATTACTGCTGTGATGGAAATCAGAATACAATTATCATTGCATACACATTTTGTCAGGGGAAACATTCTGGTGAAACTAGTGGTGAAGTGGGATAGTTACTTTTCGTCCTATTAGTTGGATAACAAAAGTTGCATAAAAGGTTATTTTTTAGTATCAAGCCATAAGTACAATTGCTAAAGCTTGTTTTTTCTTTCCATTTTTGAGTTTTGGTTTCTTAAAAAAATTAACACAGTATTCACTCCCAATTTTGTGCTTTAATTTCAGAATGTGCCCCCACCCAGAGGGGCTGAACCAATTGTTACACTTGGTGGAATCGACTTGAATAGCTCCGGAAGGTATGCAATGAAACCAAAACTTTGTGAAAGGTTGATGATTCTTCCATATTGTCTGATAAGCTTATAATATTGGGGAATGGTTAAGTGTTGTTGTCAAAGAAGAAAGGAAACTTTTGACAGTGTTCTTTCCTGATGGCCGTGATGGAATGAACTTTCACTCTGAAGGTTAGTTGTCCAGTTCATACAATGTCTGGCATATTGCTTCCGGTGTTCCAATTGGGTTTGGTTATTTGTTGCGGTTTGCACAACTGAGTGTGGCTGGCAGTGATTGAAGTAGCAGTAGTGATGGTTACTTGGTTAGATTGAGGGAGGCCATGCTAGTTCTAGTTCCTTAGGAGCTTGCAGGGGTCTATGCCGTAACACTGTAGAAATTGGCTCATTTTGTTCCATTAATTTGTTACAGGTACCATACTTGTATGTTATTATTTATGAATTAATGGTATGAATTTTCACCAAGCAGGCAGAAACCACAGAAGATCTAAATGAGTGGAGAAATGCACTGGAGAGTGCTCTAGCACAGGCACCCAGCGTAGCAATTACAATGGGGCAAAATCCAATATTCAGCACTGACGTAGCAGCAGAGCCTGCTGAAGCTGAAGCTGAACAGTGTAAGCTTTGTTAATTTTCGTTACTTGCTCACCATTTGAGATCTTAGATGTTTAGAATATGCCTGCGCCTTTTTTTTACATAATGGAAAGAATCCAGCTTCATCCTCAAAATAGAGGAATCAGCCACATTTATTACAAAAAAATTTGCACACTAACCATACAACCAAACTCTTAATACTCCCTCCGGTCCATTTTATATATTTTACACATATCAAGATTCAAACTTTAAAAACTTTGACCAATAGTTAGGGTAATAATTTTTAACTATTATAATACAAACTTTATATGAGTAGATTCGTAAGGAATTATACTATCCAATGATTATAAGTTTATAAGTATAAATAATATAATATAAAGCAAATGAATGGTCAAAGTGTAATCTAGGAGACCGTGTCACTCTAACTTGCGCCAGATAAAATGGACCGGAGGGAGTAGTTCACAAGGTGATCCTAAAAACGAAAGGCCATCTAGAGAGGCAAATAAAACAATTGCCACTGACTCCAGGGTAGCGCACGCAAGGGCGATCTTAGAGACATCACTGCGCTAATTGTAAATAGTAGAATGGAACTCCTGCATTTGCTGATAACTGAATTTTTTTGTGGGAGGGATGGATTCCTTACATTTCATTATGCTAAGCAAGTTCAGTTGTTTGTGGTGCAGCGGAGGACAGTTCTGTTATTGGCAGACCTGCAGAATTTGCACTAGTAGATGCTGATGGTAGTCCATCATTTCTGGAGAAGGCCCTGAAGTTCATTGAAGATCATGGTAAGTTCTTTTGCTTATTGTGGTCATTACACAATCTTTGCAAATTTTACATTATGGTGAGTAGAAGCATAAATGGCTATAAATCATTCAGCACAGTCCTAACACACACAAAAAACCCTTTATCTGTAGGGGTCAAGGTAGAGGGTATCCTGCGTCAGTCTGCTGATGTTGAAGAAGTCAAACGCAGAATTCGGGATTATGAAAAGGGTGATTTCTTTGGACTGAACCTTTTCTTTTCTTATCTAGGATAATTATTTTTGGTGTTTTGGCAGTCTTTAGTTCAATTAATAAAATAGCCTGTCTTCTTCACTATGTTTTCATGAAGATATTTTATGAGGGCCATAATAATGTGTGGGAATTGTATTTTTATTTGCTTTGACTGCTTTACCATCTTCTTTGTACTATTTAAGACACATTTAATTTGTGTTTTAGGGAAAACGAATTCTCCCCAGAAGAGGATGCTCATGTTATTGGTGACTGTATTAAGGTATATATTTGGCAAGTGTTGATTACAATCTCACTAAAAGGAATGCTCTTCACTGATATTTGTCTGGTTTTCCTTTGATACAGTATGTTCTTGAGAGATGCCATCATCTCCAGTTCCTGCATCATGTTGCACTGCCCTGGTTAAAGCATACCGTAAGATTAATTTGAAACTTTGTTTATGCATTCAGTAGTTATCTTGTATTTCTGAATTTATCAATTAAAGTGATATATAATCCCAATTGATGTCATAAAGTAACTACACATAATTAAATCAATATATGCTCTTATCTACAACATTTTGATATGTTAGAATCATACGATGATCAAGACTAGTGTTATACAGGAAGTGACAAGGCAAGAAGACTTGATGAGATAAATAGGGTGATATATGAAGTTTTCCCAGAACCAAATCGACAATTGTTGCAGAGGTATCTAACTTGTATGCTTATATCATATTTTCTTGCCAACCAAAACTTTATACTTAGCATATTAATTCCTGTGGCGTCGTAGCTGGATTTTCATTCTTGATGGGGGCTTCTCATCCCTTGGTATCATTATAATCAATTTGATTGAGCTACATTATCCTGTAGAACCGTAACAAAATTATTCCAACAAATGGGCTCCAGACTAATCAGGTTTTTCTTCAGGACTCTTAAGATGATGCAAATTGTTGAGTCACACAAAGCTGTGAATAGGATGTCTCAATCTGCTTTGGCAGCTTGCATGGCACCACTCCTTCTTCGACCTCTTCTTCTCGGAGAATGTGACATAGACAATGAATTTAGTATGGGAGGGGACAGTTCATTCCAGCTACTTCAAGCTGCTGCGGCTGCAAATCATGCACAAGCTATTGTTATTATTATGATGGAGGAATTTGATCAGATATTTGATGTATCCTCTTTTTACTGGATCCATTTGAAGTACTTAACGTAGTCATTCATGAGTTATAATTCAACTGATTATCATACAGGACTTGGAAGAAGGTTCCTATTCTTCAGATGCTTATACCGAGTCTGAGGATGACGATGTTGATAAGGAATATTCCACAGATAATGACATCCATGATGACGATGGTTCTTATGATTCTGGTGAAGATGACATTGAAGAAGACTTGGACTACTCTGATGACAGTGAACATGAGATCAACGCTAATGTCAAGGATGGCAAGGTACTTCACTGATCATTGTATTGATTCCAAAACATTATAGATGAGATATTCTCCATGCTGGCATTGGAAGGTCCTTGAGACAGATGTTAGCTTTTTGCAGCCTTTCATGATATGGTTCTTGTTTCAACGTGCTATATTTTATTATTTCAATTTCTGAGGGTACCCTGTTTTTCTCCTTTTAGCATGCATAGATTAGCAACTTGGCTCATATATTTTGTCCATTAATATAGGTGCCTGAGTTATGTGTGTGGTCAAACTTTTCCACTTTTAAACAGTGGTATTTATATTTTTATAAAGATGGTTATATCTATAACTGCTTGTATTTCATGGAGACTTCTAAGTGCATCATATACTGCAAATCGCTTTGCGGTGTTTGTAACTATATTCTGACACAAGAAAACCTTGGTCACACTATGCTCTTGGATACAATATTGAAGAATAGTTTAGACTACAGCTTCAAAGCACATACAAAGTTGCAAATAACTTTGCTCATTTGGCGTAGAACACATGTATTTTTCAGAACTGCAGCTTTAGGTCTCTGACTTCAATTTTTCTTGGTCCATAGGTTAAAAACAATATCTCAGAAACTGCAGGTAATGACAATAATTAACCAGTATCTTCAACCTCCTATAGAGCAACAAGAGTAGAAAATGGTGCATCAAGGGAAGGCACTGATCAAAATTCTTCTCCGCTTAATTCATTTTCCGTAGAAGGTGCACAGGCAGAGGACAATAGTCAATCCAACCAAAAACAAGAATCATGTGGACCAAATGGATCCAAAGATCGTATACTAAGATCAACTTCTCGTTCATCGTCTTCAAGAGAAAAATCTATGGAGAAATCATGCAGTTCAGCACACAAGGGCAAAAAAACCTTATGGGGCCGTACTTCAGTAAGTGAAAATGTTATTGGTATAGTTCTTCATATTAATGCTGGTAGGATAATCTTACAATTTTATGGGAATACTTGATATACAGGCAAGAAAAGACCTGTCAACAGAGGAGATTGAATGCTGCAGCGATGATGAGTAAGTGGCCTTGGCACCTTTGGCCTTTGGACATTTCCTATTTATTGAAAGAATTGCAAACATATATCCTTTGAAAGCACCACAATCTTTTCCAGCTTTTCTTTCTCAATACTTTATTTGTTACTTGTGATATTGGTCTTTGTTTAATACTATCGCAAACTTGCCATTTGCCATTCGCTTATCCACTGTGAAGCTGTCCTTCCATTCGGTGTTTGCATGTTGACTTCAACTAGTAAAACTGTCACAAACAAAACTTAACAGCAGCTTGGAACGAAAAATATATAAAAAAATGCAAGGAAGCTTTCACAATTTCGGGCTGACATTTGAGTTATTTTCTGATGTGGCTTCTGAACAAGGACCCTTATTGAGAAACTTGAGAGCAACAAGATTGATCTCCAATCGAAAATTGCAAAGGAGGTAAAGCCTTTTCCCCTATGATCACATGAATTGGGTTAAGTGGCATTGGATACCTCCCGATGAGATGATATTGTTCCTTTTCTTTCATAGGCCAAAGAAAATGCAATCCTACAGTCAAGTCTAGAAAAGCGGAAAGAAGAACTACATGAGCGCCGTTTAGCACTTGAAAAAGAAGTAAGAACTGAAGGGTTATCTTTTCTTTTCATTTTGGGTCAGTAAAATCTAGGTCACTTTGTCTCGATAAGAAACCGTTGTGCCATAAAAAAGAAATAAAGGCCACAATGATTAAATAAGAAGCTTTGCAATAAAATAATGCTCAAAGTGTTCAGTATGCAAAATTACGGCCATGTAGTATTTCATTCTTCTGAAGGTGTTTGGGTGTGTTTTTTCAGAGTAAGTCATACATTTCTCTTTTTGACAGCAAAATAATGTTGATTCAATAGGTTGAAAATTTGAGGGATCAGCTGCAGAAGGAGATAAATTTGAAGACATCCTTGGAGTCCGGGGTGATGAATTTGCGAAGAGGGCAGGTGTCCTTGCCGTCAACAATAGACAGCAAGGTAGTTTCCTAAAGAAGTGATTAGTGAGTTTATTCTCAGTTCCTTTGTTCTCCGTGATTTAAAATGTTTACTCTGTTAATTAAAGACTAAGGCTGATCTTGAGGAAGTTGTGACTGCTGAATCTGATATTATGAACTTGAAGCAAGAGGTTTCTGGTCTTCGTGGGCAGGTCAGCGGCCAGCAGCTGTGCTGTGAATCATGCAACAAACGGCTTGTAAATACAGACAGGGTTGGCGGGTAAGATTTTGGTCTATTATTTTTTCACTGTCTGGCATCATTTCGGTTGTAGACTTGTACTAAACTGGGGCCCCTTTCTCCAGACCTGAAAGCTCATCAGTGGAAGCGTCACCGACTGTTGGGAGTGATTCTGCATCTGACATGGTAAGAGTGCCAAATTCCTTTCATTCTGCTTTCAATATAAGCGGGAGGAAACTCCTTTTCAGGTTAAAAAGAATAGAAAACATTTCAGGGTGATATTGAGCAGTCAAGGAAGCAAACTGCGCAGCATTCGCCTTCTTCAACAGCCAAGCCAGGTCACGAGGCGGTCGGGAGCATCAGCCAGAGGGCTCCTCAAAGAAGGCAATCGATTGCCAGGGAGGGCCAAGATGGGTCGTCGTCATCATCCTCTAATTCGAAGTGGAATCTTGCGCAGAAACAATATTCAAATAGCCCATGGATAAGAGGGCTTCATGGATCTAGCAGACTAGAGGTTTGTGCTTGAGATGAGATGAGATGATGCTCCTTTCCTTTGTTGTCGATTGATGAGCTAGCGATGATGAATGCTCCTATGCATGTTGTTGCTGATCAGGATTTCGGTGGAAGCATACCACCAGCAGCATCAACGGCATTAGTAAAGCTGACAAACCGGCTCAACTTCCTGAAAGAACGGAGGGCGCTGCTGGCAAGCGAGATGCAGAGCTTGGATTTGGCTCGGCCCCCAGCTGCTGCTGCTGCTGCTCCATCAGTCAAGTCCCCAACACCAAAAGGCCATGAAAGGAAGAAGAGTTGAGCCTGACGAAGAAGAATCGATGTTAGTCTGTCCCTGGTGTGCTCTTCTGAATGCTAGACCGTGCTAGTTTGTGTGCATCCCATTCCCATCCTTAGTGCTGTCTGTACATGTTTCCACAAATTCTGCTGCTTCAAATTTGCAGATACATATAGATACGGATGTAACGTCTCTGAGGCTAAGCACGCTGCTTTGTTGAACACACCAAGTACTAGCTGTTTTCATTGCTGAATAGATCGTTGCTCAAAGCACTTTGCAGATACATATAGATATGGATCTAGTCATCTAGACATGTTGACACATTCTAAAGCTCAAATTGACTGTCTAGCAACATATTACAGGTTCACAGTAAAACATGGATAACAATGAAGGTACAACAAAGTGCAGAGATAGCTCCCTCGAGGATAATAGGAAGTCTCAACAAAGTGCAGAGTTGTCTCAGTTCTAAACTTCTCCTAGACGATAGACGAATAGATATGCTGCTGCTACTGAGCTTTCATCAGGATTCAGGCATGATATCCTGCCACTTACAAGGTGGTGGCTCCCTCTACTCTTGCATCACTTACCCTCCTCGATGATCCTGGCGGCCTTGTTCGCAGCAGCCATTTTCTCATCAGAGATGGCTCCACCCTCTGGGAGATCAAACTTCCTGCGGCTCAGTGATCTCTGCTTCCCTGGGGGCTGAGGGTCCACAACCTCCAGCATTGCTTCAAGCTCCTCTAGCATAGATTTCTTCGTGGTCCTCACCATGTAGTCAGGTCCCTGGATTCATGGGCAAGCACCAAAGATGGTCAGAGTCCGAGGCTAATGTCCAACACTTCACAAACCACAAAGCAACCCAGAAAGAACAGGTATTACGATTTATGCATGCCAACCACCATTCACTTTTACTGGTTATATGGAGCCCAGGGATAAAATGAGATACAAGCAGGGATTTCAAGAACAAAACAGTTTAGTTAGTTGGCAATACATGTTTAGTACAATAGAAGGATCAGAAGGAGGCTGAGGAAGAAACGGTTCATCTGATTGACATATATTCAAGGAAGGAAGCAGAGGCGAATGTGATTGTCTCGCCTAATTTTAGTGCAACACTACTGCATTAGTAGTGAAGGTAAAGGCAAGGCATACAAAATGTATGCGACAGAGACCGAGGCCTAATGCTTTTTGCCTTTTCTTCACTACCATAGCATTATCAATAGATAGGTTCCAATCCAGAAAAAAGACTTGAGAATTTCAATCAGTGCAGGGTTAAAATGCTTGAATATCTAGAAACATTTGAAATTAATTTAGATGGCTTCCCTTACATTTATTTGCCATGGAAAAGCTGGAAGCCTACAACATAAACAGTAGAGAAGTTCTAAAGGAACAAAATAGCATGGATTTCTGCTTACTAATCAATCGAATACCAGTCATATAAATGTTGTACTACTATGCAAAGTTGGATTCACAGGAAATATGCAGCATTGCCTAAGAATAACAATACTAAAGGTTTCGACCTCACAGCATCAGTGAATATACTATCCAGGAAAAAAAAACTGTCACAAGTCTGTCTTTGTATGTTTTCAGGCCTTGGGCAGCCATTTTGGATTTCTAGTATCTACATCTAAAGTAAGCCTATATCTTTAATTCATTACAGGATCATATGTGCATGCAAAAACATACACAAGTGGACAACAAAAATGATCCCCAGTAACTTTTTAATACTTGTACAACAGATTCTATTTTCCTAACAATGTGATAATATTACTTAAACGGTTTAACCAATAACTTCAGATACTAGCGCAGCGCTGGAAACTAATGCTGCACAAAGAGATTTGACAAATATATCACACTGGCAAACAATGCAACAACTCAACTCGCAACCCAACATTGTAACTGAGGAAACACAATGACAAACATGCAGCTCACCTCGAGCGCATCGACGGTTATGAGCAGTACGATGATCTTCTCAGAGAACCTCTGGCGCTCTTCGTGGTCATGCGCAATGAGGTGCCTGTAGGAGATGTTATAGAACAGGGACCTGAGCTCCTTGAGGTTGGCTTTAGCCACAGCCAGATCGCGCAGGCAGCGAAGCACCTGGGAGCGGTGAGCAAGGTGAGCCCTGTAGGTCATCTGGATGAGCAATGCAGCATCTTGTGGGGAGAGCTCCTTCCTCTTTCCCTTGCCGTTGCCCTTAGCAAATGCCTTCACTCATCAGAGAGGAAAAAAAATGCAGGTCAGTACAAGAAGCCAGGAATGCGGATCCAGAACGGTAGAACATCACCAAACTCTTCTAAAACCATAACAAGCGTCTATGGATGTCTTAATCCTGCTAAAAATCTAACCTTTTCTTCAGATCAAAATAAATAAATAAAAAGTAAACCTTTCTTGGCCCCAACCACCGTCCAAAACCCCTGTGAGGAGCAAAAACCCACCCAATCACCAGTGAGGGAGAATGACGAATGCAGAAGAAAAGGTCTGACCTTTTGATGGCGACGCATCCAGCATCATTGTCATAGGAGATCTCCTCGATCTTGACGGTGGCGAAGGGGCATTTCGTCTCCTTCTTGACGGCCTTCACCTCCTCCTTCTTCTCCTTCTTCACGGTGGCCTTCTTGGTCTTGTTCTTGTTCTTGTCGGCCGCGCGCTCCTCCTCTTCGTCGTCGCTGTCGCTGGCGGTGAAGTCCTCCTCCCAGGTGTAGGCCTGGGACCAGGGCTCGAGACATCCCTTGCCCTTGACCGCGGCGCCCCACTTGAGCTTCCTGGCACCGGCGCCACCGGCGGCGGAGGATCCTCCCTTGGCCTCCCATTTCCACTTGCGGTCGAAGCCGTCGTCGTCGGGGGACTTGATCTCGGCCTCCCACCTGAGCGTCCGCTCCCCGGCGCGCGGCTTCTCGACGGAGGTCCACTTGACCTTGCGGCCGCCGGCCTCGGTGACGTAGGTGCGCTTCCGGGTGGCGGGGGGCTCGGGGCGGCGGCGCGCGGTGGCGATGGCGAGCTCGAGCGCGGCGACGCGGTCGGTGAGGTCGCGGAGGAGGAGCGGGGTGTAGGGGGACGGGGTCGGGGGGAAGGCGAAGAAGGGGTCGAGCGCCGGCGCCGGGGGCAGGAGGAGGTCGTCCAGGTCAGGGAATGGGGAGGCGGTGGGGAACGGCGACGGGTGGTCCAGGTCAAGGAGGAACGGGCAGGAGGAGGAGGAAGGTGGCGGCGGTGGGAAGGGGAAGAAGGGGTCGTCGAGGAGGCGGAGGAAGTGGCGGTGGGAAGCCATGCCGAGAGCGACGGCGACGGCGACGGAGACGGGTGGGGCCCGTGGGGGCAGAGCAGATGGCTCGGGAGCTGGGAGTGAAGTGGGAGGACCGGAGGAGTGGACTGATCGGCAGCCTGGGAAGGAAGGAATGCAGAGGCGACTCGACGGCGATGGGGGCCCGGCCCGGCCGGCGGATGGGTGTGTGCGCTGCACGTGACGTGACGCGGCAGCCGGCAGCAGGATCCAGAGGGGAGGAACAGCTCAGTGCTCACTGTGTGACAGAAGAGTGCGGCTCCACCTCCACGCGGCCACGCCACTCCAGTTTTGGTTTTGGACCCCACATCCCACGGTTTTGGACGAATCCCGGCGACCGGCCCACGGCCTCGCCCTCACGCCACGCTCGGCTGAAAACCGACGGGCAACGGTTGCCCTGTTTCATGAAATTGAGGCCGCGTTTAGTTCGCTGCCGGATTCGGCGCCGCCGGTTTTTCGGACGCTGTAGCTGCACTGTAATGTTTTGTTTTTATTTGGTAATAATTGTTCAATCGTTGACTAATTAGGCTCAAAATGTTCGTCTCGTAAAGTACAACCAAACTGTGCAATTAGTTTTTGATTTCGTCAACATTTAGTACTCTATGTATGTATCGCAAGTTTGATGTGACAGAAATCTTCTTTTTATATAGTGTCAAATTCTGGAATTTGGGGCAATTAAACATGGCCTGAGCCGCATTTCGCACGGCTCCCGGTTCGCCGCGTTGATTTTCATGAGCAAAGTTAAAAGTTGATGACTAAAATTTTAGATCATTTTAATTTATTTGTGTGGCCTATAGTTTTATTTTAGACAACACTTTAGATATCTAGAGCCTTATGAGCTAAATGGTTTAAATTTTAGCCACTAAACTTTAGACCATGCGATCCAAATAGAACGTAAGCTTAGAGCCGATAGGACTCAAGGGATTTTATTGGCTTCTAATTTATTTTATTCTATTATTTTAAATAAAATAGGGAAAAAATATTTTACCCATAAATTGGAATGGGAAGAGACTTAGACTATAGCTCTATCAAAAGGGGTTAAAACGTTTGGCTGCCAGCCACAGGCTGCCACATGCAGCTGTTGTTACGCCTAAGCTACGACCCCCAAAAATCTGACGCCACAGCTGTGATGGAGTTTTATGTTGCAAAGAGTTGCATATGTTCAACTTAAATCATCAACTAAATAGCGGTGTGGAAGCTTTGCATGTAGCGTCGCGTCTGATGGCCGATGACCAAACACGCTCTAACTATTGCCTGACGACCAAACACGCTCTGACTGCTACTAGTGCCATGTCACTATATATATGAGCATATCCTCAGTCCGTTGTAAAACAAATTAGTGTAGATCCAACCTAAAATCAATCAGATCGATCAACCATTCTTCGTGTCGGATTTAGGGCTTGTTTAATTGATTCCTAACAAGCTTGCAACGACATAGCATAGAATTTGTGAGACATGCGCTAGAGTTTTGTTAGAAATACTACCACGCGTCCTAATGAGGATGTAATTCTAATTTTGTATTTAGTTAGACTATCTATGGTTTAAAGAAATTTATAGAGAAGGTGTGTTAATATTCATAGCACCATATAGATATATTATGAAAATATATTAAAAGACAAATAAACCACACTTATTTGATGCCCTAAACATTGATATTTTTTTTATAAATTTGGTTAAACATAAAATGATTGGCTATGTGCTATGCTAAAATTACATTCTTTTTCTAGAGCAGCGGTAACACATACGCAAAAAGTGCACCAACGATGTCTATATGAGTCTTTGCATGCCAAAGGTTGCATTAGATCATACCATGGATCTAAGCAAGAAGCGAGTACAATAGACTTAAACAATTGACTCATTTTTTTTAGCATAGCATGCTGACTTTTGCACGTCGTTCAAATACGTCTGACGTCTATATCATGGTTCTTTTTGAAAAGTTACAAATTACACCCATTTTCTATGTTTTGGACTATGTCCATATAATTCCTGCAATCTGTTTTGTTCAATTTATTTACTCCCAACTATTTCTGCTAGTTCGGTTTACCCCTTAACAGACAAGTTGTGTTTTAATTTCAATTCTTGTGAGATGATAGAGACATCATATTTTGTGTTAAAAGATACATCATGAGATTTTAATCATTATGTGTCATAAATTTATATCTAGTGTTAATTTATTATTATATTCCCTAAGAACATACTCCTACCATAATAACGATGGGAAAAAAGTTAAGATGTATCTTTTAACATAAAGTATGATATGTACCACCTCACAATTAAAATTAACTCACACTTTATATGCGGCAAAAAAATACTTGTATAAAAAGTAAATTAGACCAATAGGGGAGTAAATTGAACGAAGCAGTTACTAGGTTTTCTAGACATATACCAATTAAGGGGAGTAAACTTTTATTTTTTTCCTAGGCACAGTACGTTTTATTTATTTCTTATTACTCCCTTCATCTTTATATAAATCAATTCCTAGAATTGTTTAAAATGAGCATTTTTATGTTTGATAAAATTTATAGAAAAGAGTATCATAAATCTTAGCACTCCTTTTGTATAGAATTGATCGAATTTAAAAAATTCCGACTTAAGATAACTCTAAAATTGATTTACTTAGAGTCAGTACTTAAATCTTGATAGACTTGATGTTGAGTGTTGCCATCGGTCCGTGGCGCCAGTTTCAACAATTCTTATTACTCCCTTCATCTTTATATAAATCAATTCCTAGAATTGTTTTAAATGAACCTTTTTATGTTTGATAAAATTTATAGAAAAGAGTATCATAAATCTTAGCACTCCTTTTGTATAGAATTGATCGAATTTAAAAAATTCCGACTTAAGATAACTCTAAAATTGATTTACTTAGAGTCAGTACTTAAATCTTGATAGACTTGATGTTGAGTGTTGCCATCGGTCCGTGGCGCCAGTTTCAACAACCTATTTCTCGTTTCTTAGTCCGTTACATCTTGTTACATGTTAATCGACTAACATACATACATAGTTTGGTCTATATTCATTAGTTTTGTCAAACTTTAGACCAAACTTGAGGAAGTAATTGTTCCGTGCCGCCTTCTTTACGACGGAAATACGTTTTCTACGGACAGAAGCGACCTCTTTGCTGTATATATGTAAAGCAACCTTAGAGGACTACAGACAGGTGGGTCCAACTTGCAGTCCCACGGGACATCCCCCTCTCCTTCTCGCGCGCGACGGCCCCGGAGCCGCCGAGCAGGCCTCATTAAACCCTAGAGCTCCCGGTCGCCGCCGCCACCGCATACGCCGTCGCCATGGATACTCTCAAGCGCAAGGCCCAGGACGGCCCCGGAGCCGCCGAGCAGGCCTCTCCTCTGAAAGCGCCGCGCGCCGCCGTCCCCACCTCGGAGCCTCCCGCTCCCACCACCCTCGCGGCCGCGGAACCAGTCGCCTGCGTGCACGACGTCTCCTACCCCGACGGCTACGACGCGTCCGCCTCTACGTCCCGCGCCATTGCCGGCGGCGCTGACGCCTCTGAGCCAGCAAAGAAGTTCCCCTTCCAGCTCGACCCCTTCCAGTCCGAGGCCATACGCTGCCTCGACAATGGCGAATCCGTCATGGTACCATATCGGCTCCAATTTTTTTCTTCTCTCGGTGCACTTCGTTTGGCCACCCAGCTCGGTGCATGTGTCAAATTAGTAGTATCTTTTTTAGTTCAACTCAAATGACCCCTCGGGATTGGATTAGGTAGCAACCTCCTCAAATTAGGTCCACTAAAGGAAGGCTACCATTTTAGCTTCTCAGGTTTAACTTTTTTAAATACCTATCATTACTACTGCGTAAAAACGTGCCTCTCATTGGGCTTTTATTGATCCGTCTATTGCTGATGGCTAATTAGCATCCATGGTTGCTGAATGCCGATAGCAAATTCTGTAATTCACAGTTCCCCCTATTGTATGAGCTGTATGGTATCAGACCAACTATTTTCTTGCTAAACAATCATGCTTTGTGCTTCTGTATATACGGTCAAACCAGTTCTCCTTTCATCAGCTAAGTTGTTTGTCACTTATAAAAAAAATCTTTCTCTACTTCCCCTTTCGGGGATTCCCAGGTCTCAGCTCATCGTCAGCCGGAAAGACAGTGGTCGCGTTGTATGCAATAGCAATGTCTTTGCTTAACCAACCAAGCGGGTCATCTATACATCTCCAATCAAGGCACTGAGCAACCAAAAGTACAGGGAGTTCAAAGAAGAGTTCTCTGATGTTGGTCTCATGACTGGGGATGTCACGATTGAGCCGAATGCCTCTTGTCTGGTGTTACCTCCTGTCCTCACTAGTCTTTCAATCACTTGTATATTTATGCTTGGCACTTAAAAGCATACCCTGACATTGCAGGTCATGACCACAGAAATTTGGCGGAGCATGCAATACAAGGGATCTGAGGTCATGAGGGAAGTTGCTTGGATTATATTTGATGAGGTGCATTACATGCGGGAGAGAGAGAGGAGTGGTTTGGGAGGAGAGTATAGTGATGGCTCCCAAGAACTCACGCTTTGTCTTCCTCTCAGCAACTGTACCCAATGCCAAGGAGTTTGCTGATTGGGTAGCTAAGGTCTGTTCCCAAGGTTGCCTATTTGTCTCCATGTTTCTATTGCCATGGTTTTGGCTTTGAACTCATGTACTTGTTACAAGGCGTCTATAGACATGGTCAAGCATCCACATATGCTTTAAGAACATATGCCATTTTGTTAATAATGGAGGCTGTTCTATTTTTCAGGTACATAAGCAACCCTGTCATATAGTTTACACCGACTATAGACCTACGCCTCTTCAGCACTATGTATTTCCTTCTGGAGGGGATGGATTATACCTTGTAGTGGATGAGAAGGGCAAGTTCAGAGAGGACAGTTTTCAGAAAGCATTGAATGCCCTTGTCCCTGCTAGTGACAGTGCCAAGAAGAAGGAAAATGGGAAGTGGCAGAAAGTTATCATGGCAGGGAAATCTAGTGAGGAAAGCGACATATTCAAGATGGTGAAAATGATAATTCAGCGCCAATATGATCCTGTAATACTTTTCAGCTTTAGCAAAAGGGAATGTGAATTTCTTGCTATGCAGGTATGCTCTTTTGTAGATTATTATTAGTCAATTTAGTGAACTGGAAAATTCGGTGGTCTGTAGGAAAAAGAAATTGAGTTAATTCAGTTGATTTTGACTATCTTTCATTGTGTGATAGATGGCTAAGATGGACTTGAATGAGGATGACGAGAAGGCAAACATCGAAACAATTTTTTGGAGTGCTATGGATATGCTTTCTGATGATGATAAAAAGCTTCCTCAGGCAAGTTCTCATTTGTGTATCAGTTTCTGATCTCAAGCAACTAACACAATGGAATTTAACACTGTAGACATTACTGTGAGATTACAGTTTTATGTTTTTTAAGCTATCTACAGCGGTATACATTTCTATTTGTAATATACGAACCAGTAGCAGTACTGGTAGGCAATGCTATGGGTTGATAATTTATCTTAAAACTGAGCCAGGAGCTTTCGATACGCAGGTTTCAAACATGCTCCCCTTACTGAAACGCGGCATTGGCGTGCATCATTCTGGTCTGTTGCCAATTTTAAAGGAAGTCATTGAGATACTCTTCCAGGAGGGCCTCATTAAGGTTAGCACATTTTATGAATCTCATGATGCCTCAAGTTCCTGTTATTTCTTAGCCTCATAAGTAGCTTATTGCTAGTGGTATTTGAACACTCATACAGAACTTTTTATTTGGAGCAATGATAGTAAGACATAGATGTTCATAACTTATATACATTTTGCACTTTACATCAAGAAAGAATTTCGTGCATCAAAAGGTTAGGCTGTATTTCTTGATTCCTAGTATAGAGTAGATTCTGCTTGTTGCTACTGTATTTTAGTTCCATATGAAGAGACCAATTCGATGTGAAACATGAAATGGATAGATCAGATTTTAGGTGATTCTAGGCTTCTATGTTCAATTGCACTTCAAATTTAAATAGAGAGTGTGGGAGGGAGGGCACGAGGTCTGAAATAACAGATTTAATAAACTATTTTATTTAGTTATTTTTAGATAAGAGTGGTTCTCATCTCTGACTAATGTCATGGACTGTCTTTATACCTTGAGAAATGCGTTCACATGTTCTATTATACATATTCTCCCTAATGATGCTGCGCTTCCACTGAGCATTTTATATATGCTTTCTTTCTATCTTTCTTAAGACTATGCTGTGTGTTGTGCCTTTTTATTTCTTGCTGAGATTAAAACATGGTGTTATAGTGTTTGTTTGCCACAGAAACATTCAGTATTGGTTTGAACATGCCTGCAAAGACTGTTGTGTTTACCAATGTGCGAAAATTTGATGGAGACCGATTCAGATGGTTGTCGAGTGGAGAGTACATCCAAATGAGTGGCCGTGCTGGTCGTCGAGGTATTGATCAGCGTGGTATCTGTATACTGATGGTGGATGAGAAAATGGAACCTTCAACTGCCAAAATGATGCTGAAAGGAAGTGCTGATAGTTTGAACAGGTCAGTATCATGGCATCCTGGCTTTTCTGGCACATTTAGAACAAAGAAGCTTTAACAACTTAATCCAGTTTGGTTGAGTGGTATGCATGAAAGAAATCCGGAACACAAGATTAGGACTGAGATGGACAAATCCTCCCAGTGCGATAATGTTCTTGGTTAACATTGTTCTTATATTCTGCAGATAATGCTAGTCATTTGTGTTATGCCTGTTCCTTGCACCCTTAAAATATTGAGTTAGCATACCAATGGTCAAATTCAGATCTGCCCTCTGTTTCATTCTTTTGCATCAATATGTTTATTGTCGCTTTTATGTGTGGAATTATGTTTTGTTCTGCATGCGCTCACACAACTACCTTTCTGTTTGTTAGTGCCTTTCATCTGAGCTACAACATGCTGTTAAATCAAATGCGATCTGAGGATGGGGATCCAGAAAAGCTCCTCCGGCATTCATTTTATCAATTTCAGGCTGATCGTTCTCTCCCTGATCTTGAGGTATTTACTTTTCTTTGAAATGGAGAATTTTACTTATGCTCCTAAGTGTTTTTCGTGGTCATCTGACATACATTACACCTTTATCCTTTGACAGCCATGAACCACATAATTCATCCATTCATTAACTCGTTGCCCATTGAAACCTATAATATTACACTGTTTTCCTGTACCTGCGCCACAGTTCACACTTCATATGTTTCTGTGAACTTATTTTAATGGGCCCTTTAGGTTGTAGTTTAGCAAGTGTCTTAAGGGAATAATCACTTGGGCAGTAAAGTTGATTGTTATACTTTGTATAAAGGCCAAAAACAGGCCATCCTTTCTCCAAAGTTTAAAATATTCCTTCCCACCCCACTGTGGTTTAGTTTTTCCCTATGTATGATGTTTCATGTTAAAAAAAAGAACATTATTTGATACATTCCAGAGTGCTTCAGAGATGCACCTATGCACTAAGATCACTTTTGGACCATTACAAGCCAGATTAATAATTTGTGCTGGTAGCCTGATAGACTGAATGTTGGCACCTATATTATTGCCTTTTGGTCACCATAGGGACTTTTATTAAAAACACACACAGAAACCCCACCTAAAGCATTTCTTGAAACTTACAATAGCACCCTGTTTGAATTTTGTGCAGAAGCAAATCAAGGAACTGGAATCAGAGAGAAATTCCATGGTCATTGAGGAAGAGGAGAGCTTGAAGGATTATTATGATCTCTTACAGCAGCACAGGAGTTTAAAGAAGGATGTCCATGATATTGTCCTCTCCCCAAAACATGTTCTGCCTTTCTTGCAACCTGGAAGGCTTGTCCGCATTGAATATAGTACAGATGAGCCAGCCAACTTTTCCATTGATGAAAATGTCACATGGGGAGTTATAATAAACTTTGAAAAAGTGAAATCCCATGGTGAAGGTACATAAGTTAAAACGATAATCTCATTTCAATCTATTCCTCTAATATGATTTTCTATTTTGTATATTTGTTTATAATAAATACAGAATGATTTACCTACAACTTGTTTGGTAATGCATTCCATGACAGGATTCATGTAGTTATACATTTTGTGGTGGATTGGGAAGGGATTCAGGCTTAAGCAGCAGATATTCCTTCTCACTGTTCACTGCTATGTTTTTCTGATAATCTAGGTTCATTCATGGTTGTCCTATGATCTGCTCATGTCCATGAGTTTTGCCAATTGTGGCATGGTTACCCTTGTCAGTTTGTCTAGGTCTCTAGCTTTGATGATGAATTGACTGGCAGCTGAGCTTCAGAGTTACACATAGGACTGAGAAACCATTCTGATCTCAATTGAGAGGGACTTTACTTATCCTGAAAAATGTACAGATATAGTTTACCTTTCTTGACAATCTGATCTAAATAGGCTTGATTTTGGTTTGTTTAGCACCAACTATTCCTGTAGCATAGCTTCATCAGCTTGAATTGCAGAATGTTTGGTGGTTTTAGACTGTAACTGTATGTTAGGACCTCTCTTTTATGGAGTGGATTTTGTGCATCTCCAATTGTCAACCACTTGCAGCAAGTACACCTGGTTTTAATTCCTGAAACAGTC